ACAATTCCAAATATTTCAAAATCTGTTTCACAGGCAGATAACCAGTTGCACAGCATTATTCAATGATATATGACATACATTGAAGAAAATAATAGTTTGCATGCATTGCTCCTTCAAAAAATGACTGACAGCAATTTATATTTACCCCCACCCAGCCAAAATCACACCTAAAATATACCAATATAGGCAATCTTCATGAAGGTGCAGCATACTCCAGAATCCGCCCGATTCCTTTAAAAATATCAGTAACACGCAGTGCACGCTATGGCATTTTCAGAAATGACAAATAAAGTGTCTGTCATATGTTTAGATTTTTCACAAAATTTATCTGAAATTTCTTACTTGTTTGGCGCCAACTGTCAAAGCCTGATTTTTAACTTTTTCACCTCCATTCGGAGAGTCAGAAATACATAAAAAGCTACCAAAATGCTTAGTTTCTGGTAAAAACCCAAAAATATATCTCATTTCCTACACACAAACAAGAAAGAATTACTATGACAGAGAAATATCAGAAGTTATCAGTACCTTCAAAACACCATGTCTGAGTTATTAAAAAATTTGACCGGGGCCATCATTCGAATATGTCCCCTGCCCCCTTATTATGTGTAATTCCCCAGAGCTAAATCCGAAACGTACGGGAAAACAGAGTTTAGCTAGGTTTCGAAAAGGTCAATAGCCTGGATTTAAATATAGAGAGATGAAGTGTTTGGGGATTAGATGTCTTGTTTCCTTGGAGACCAGTCGATTTTGTGGCCATGTCAATCTGACAGTAGGTAATTTGAACTGCACTATCATTGCACTAGACTGATACCTATATATTATGTATACAGTAAAGATGAAAAAAATTGAGAAAAAAACTAATCAACTGACTGTTATTTGAAATTTTGAATGTATAATATCCATCTGATTGAGAAAGTAGTTACGAGTTAACTAGGGGACGAATAGACCGAAATATCGATCTCTGCCTGCTCAAAATATTATTCAAGATCAAACTGGTAAACTCATTTCATTTGACCAGTCATGCAATTAATTGCAAATATCAACTTGCAAACTTTTTTCAGCAATTGATTTTACGCTGTAACTTACTAAGTTTCGGCTTCCGTTCGTCAGTTTGTTTTCGTACCCGGAAGAATAATATATCTCTAAAATCCGTCATCTCGGTCAATGACCGGTACGTTACGATACCGATATCACATTGAATCAAAGCACTGAAAGTACTGAAGTATACATTGCTTGATAATATAATCCATTTTTGTCATCAAGGCCAAGTTGATTTTAAGCTACTGACCTCAAAAACAATAGGGGTCATTTTCTGACCAAGGTCAATGTCCCTAACAAGTGACTCACACCAAGGCTTTTTTCTTCCAAAGTTATTTATGAGACAAGGTAGGCTAATTAATTCGGCGTGAACGGTTTGACCCATTTTACAGACTTTTCTTTTCTTTCTGTCAAACCGTTACGCCTAATTTTAACTGTCATTTTTACGCACGGAAAATCTACCGGCAACACTATCGATAGTTTGGACTGATTTTTACTGCTTTAACCTGAAAGTAACTTCAATGTCCTCTAAAAATTAATAGAATATAAATTTTAGTACTAACTTCTCCACAAAAAATATTAGATTGTACCTGTCTTAACGCATACATGCGATTTATTTCAAATTTGTACTGTCTACACTACCTTTGGCGGACAAGTTATGACGTCATCGTAAAAAATCGATTCCGTGAAAGCTGGTAGTACCTACCAGTGTGTCTAGCAGGTAAGTGTGGGTAACGGAGGAAGATTAACTTGCAAAAATATCGGGGAAACAAATCTATTCATTATTTTTTAATAAATTTTCAAATTGAATTTTCAAATGAACAGATTAAGAGACTTATAAATGTATAAGGTGTATGTCTTGTTGTTTCATACTGTTTTGGTGACACTTTTGTTTGTGTCCCTTGTTGTTTTCTCGTCTTTGGTAAGTATCTTCCCTTTGCCCCTAGTTTTATTTCTTTATTTCGCCCCTCCCCCTTCCCCGAATTTCCTATCCCCTTCCCCTGTGCCCGTTAACTTAGTGGTCCTATTAATCATTCATTTATTTATTTTCTTTGATTTCCTTCTCGGTTACATTTTAGTGATAAGCCTGACCGTGCTCTCCCTTGCGCCCTGTCCCGTTTTAATTTAGGATCCTCCTGGGTTCCTTGCTAATGGTTCTTTTCCTGGGTCGTGTGGGGGTGCGTTCATTGAACGTCGCCTTTCCTTGTTCATCTTGCTTATCATATTGTATACATGTATTCCGAACCGTAACAGATAATGATTATCAATACAAGGTTCGGCAAGCAAGCAAAGAAATGTAAATTAAACAGAAACCAGAAAAAACTTATCCACATACATGTATCCACCCTCCAAAAAAAAAAACCCACCAAAAACGCCTGAAACTGCAAAATCGAAACATAAATACACATGAGTGCCAAAGACGGCTCTGATAGGTGCAAGTGCTCCCTTTCGCCGGTTTAAACAGAATTGATAACTTAAACATAATAATGTTGAAATTTTTAATCAACATCCACAGATGTGTACATAATACGGCGGTAATCATGGAACTTTCAATGTGACACATTCGAGGTGCCGTTCAATGAAAAGCGGGAACTAGATAACATGGAATTTTAAATTTATCAGAGGTTTTGGTGTCTTTTTGCGACAGTCGTTCTAACATTTCTCCCATCTGTCTTACATTGTTATGCTATTCAACGTCTAAATAACGGTCACTAGTTTTCCGCTTGCTGCGTTTTTATCATAAACCCGTCATATCTGTGCGACATTTGTATTCTACTGAGGACTGTCTGAAATTCCATTTTATAGTTTGAAATTTTAAGATTTTTTTCTTCAGAATTTTAAGGTTATTTTGGTTGTTTTGAACTTCTTCCCCTACACAACCGTCCTCAATTTCTTTTAAAGATAAAACAACTAGAAATTGATATGGAGTGTAATATAAATTGAAATTCTTCTTTGCTTCATCATGTATAGTATAATTATAATTCATTAAGATGTACCTACAATTACATTGTATTTTCGTATGTGGGAAATCATGGCAGGGCTATAAAATAAAAAGGTAGTTCAGAAATTTCACCTAATGATCACAGATGTTTAAAAAATCCAACTTAATAATATCTAATTTGACAATTTAAACAGACTTAAATGCAGTATGATCTGACATCGGACATCATAAACTATTTAATTTCTTAGTAAGGTTATCAGAATTTCCTTTCCACATTCTCTTTTTAATGCTGAAATATTTGTGTGTGAATAAAAGAGTTATTCCTGCAATAATTCCTACAAATAACATAAACAAATTGTATAATAAAGCTTGGCAAATACAATCGATTGCCGCCGATATCTGTGTTACACCATGGAATTTACAATTTTACCATGACACCGCTTTCAAATATGGCCGCTTTCAATAATTTTCAACGATTAAAAAATTAAAGTGGAATATTTAGACTTCTGTTCGACTTTGAAGTATGATAATTTGGAACCTTGCATAAAATGACCGTTTCTTTGAAACTTTTTTAGTTTTCGCTCCCAACAACTTCTAATTGGGAAGCGTCCGTGCATAAAAATGCAGTTCGTGGTTGGACTTGGAAAAAGACAGCGCCCGTCCAAAATTATCTCGGTGTCTCTTTGACAAGTCTAATTAGTTGGACTATGACCTGGCTTGAACTCTATACAAAGTCAATTCAAATTATCCTACAAGACTTAATTACCAAATTATAGTACATCCTTTTGTATAGCTTGTCATGTTACAGATCTATGTACTGAACTTTGATGCATTAATACATATATTCTGGTGTGTTTTGTTATTCATCTCTACACATTAATTTTCAAATGCATTACTTTATCGTTTATTAATAAAAATGAAAACTATAATCAAAACAATTCAAATGTACTGTAATAGTTTCATTATTCATTAATTGTTACATATAGTCTTCATATACAACCTTTCCAAGAAATTAATTTATATTGGACAGCAAGTTAACAAGTTTTTTTCCATAATCAGGCTTAACTTTAGATGAACCATTTACAATATTGAGCTAAAACATTTTTTCTATTTTTTGGCTACTGTGATCTACTTCTGATTTTCAACCAAGGTGATCCATGTTCAAACATGAGCAAAACCTGTCACACATATTCTTACGATGTTGTGTGACAATTGGGGCAAAAGTGTGACCAGTACAGTGTAAACAAACTAAATGACCAGCAGAGTGTTAACAACTCAATGTCATCGTCGGATACACATGGTTGATTAACATCTAACATGACATAACTGATAAATGTAAATGCAGGGGGCCTCCATTGCCGAGTGGTTTAGGTCGCTGACTTGAGATCACAGGTCCCTCAACGCTGTAGATTCAATCCTCACTCGGGTCGAAATCTTTCATGTGAGGAAGCCATCCAGCTGGCTTACGGAAGGTCGGTGGTTCTACCCAGGTGCCCGCTCGTGCCTGAAAAAATGCCTGGTGGGGCACCTGGGGTCTTCCTCCACCAATTAAAGCTAGAAAAAAATCGACGAAAAATCTCGGCGGGGCGCTCTAGGAATGCCCAACTTGAGTGTACTTGGGCTTTCCGGCGGCGATCTTAAATAAACGCATTAAAAAATGTAAATGGTTCGGCCGTAGGTATCCGACGATGCAAAATGTGGCACACCGCAGTTGACATAAGATGGATCACTCCCGTTGAAGTTTCTTATTTCTGTAGAACAGCACGGATGAACACTAACATATACATAGTGAAAAATATTTTACTGCACCAAAACTTTAACGCAGACACCGAGGCGAGTAGGACAGCTCTCCATATACTTCGTATAGTAGAGCTAAAATTATCTCTTCCTTTCTTAACAAATTATTTTAAAAAGGAGAATTAATATAAAGCTGGGAAAATAGTCACTTGTGCATAGCAAATCGTCATAAACGTAGTGCGTGTCATTATGTGGCGAGCTGTTAATGGGACGAATTTTAAAATTTATCCGGAAATAATACGTATTTTAGACAGGTTTTAAGGTACGCTTGAAGCATGTTGTAAACAAAATTATTGTTGAAGCACAAATTCATTACATTTTCACGGTTTTGATATATTTATTCAGTAAAATGTCGGTGTCAGACAAAGAAGTTATAGGAAAAGTTTTGAATGATAGTTCACAGCCACTAAAAGAACGTTTTAGAGCTCTATTTACCCTCAAAAATCTCGGCGGACACGATGCAATAGATTTGATTGCGCAATCATTTTGCGATGAATCTGCATTGCTGAAACACGAACTAGCGTACTGTTTAGGACAGATGCAAGATTCTTATGCTATTCCAACGTTGGTTAAAGTTCTCGAAGATAAATCACAGGAACCAATGGTTCGTCATGAAGCAGGTACTTAAGTTAACACGATAGATAGTGGTATAGTAGTCGGATGTTTTTTTATTTCAGATACACATGCTTTATTTTTTTTAAAACTTGCTAATGATGAAGGTAAAACAAAAAAATATTACATCAGTAATTGAAGAAGATGATAAATTTGTATCTGTTTTTCTCTTTAAAATTATCAAAAGAAGAAAATCAGTCCATTGCAGTGACCATTGGTTACTTAACTGAATTTTTTATTAAGATGGAGACGACTGAACAACATTTCTGTCTAGACAGATGAAAGGCATGGTGCAACATAGCAATTATAACACATGCAAACCTACCACTGAATTACCTAAAAATATCCTGGAACATCACATCAGTCCAATAATATCATAACATAGATCAAACACAATAAAATATATTATATACTGTCGTGTTCTAGTCCATGTCATGTTCATGGCATTAGTTCACTGTTGCCATTATGACAGAAATTGAAAACTTTAAAGACAGATAACACTAAATTTAACTTTTCTTATACAGGAGAAGCTCTTGGGGCTATAGGAAATAAAGAAGTTTTACCAATATTGGAGAAATATTCAAAAGACCCTGTAATAGAGGTATTCATGTTTCAATAAAATATTGATTATATACACTGTGTTGTATG